GCTCTGTCTTAATCTTTGTGTGAGATAGATACCTTTGGTTTCCACTGTCAACTCAAGTATCTCGCACTGTTACCTGCTACTCTACTTGTTACACCCTGTCTTCTCTTGTTGGAATGTACAGTATCCCTGCAAGGAAATATTGGTCTCCTGTCAGTTAAAACTCTTTGGAGTGAACCCTGCACAAAGTTGGGTAAGGAATGTTTAATGGGGAAGTAGGTAGAAAAGCTAATGGTAGTGGGTTCCAATTTGGATGATCCATTACACATGGCCGTAGCCAGAGTACTTTCACATGGGGCCTTTCCCAAGTGAGGTTGATTTCATGCACAAGTGCTGTGAGATCTACTGGATTCCTAAGACAGAATGATTCTTGAAAACGTGTTTGGAATTACAGATTACAGGGCAGAACTTGCCTGGTACTGCCTCTTCCTCAGTCCTCTTCAACACTGGTTTTCCTATGGATATCTTCTGCTGAGATTCACTTAGAGTCTTTGAAGGTGAGAGGCCCAGGAACTGCAGAGTAGTAGCTCTTAAACTTTAAAATGCATGCACGACACCTGGAGATGCTTAGTTGCATACTGGGATTTTGTAACTCTCCCAGGTTTGATTAATGCTGCATGCCATCGATGACACTTTGAATAAGGAGATAGCCGTGGTCCTGTTACCTTATTTTATGAGTTGGAAAACCAAAGTTCAGATTGCCCAGTGTCATCCGAACAGATACTGACAGGGTCAAAGCTACATTCAGCATTTTTCTACCCCAGTGCTGCTTTCACTGGTACTATGCCCTTTTCAGTGTTTTGCTGCATCCAGCCACCTTTTATGTGAAATGATGCTGATACTCATTCCTGTAAACTGTTTGGATCAGATTAATTCTGCTCCCCTTTGTAGGTTAGAATGTACTGTATAGAATCCAACAATTAGCAGCATAAAATTGGGGAGATGGAAAATCTGGAAAGGGGAAAGTATTCGATTTTATTTTCCTCTAAAGAAGGTTTGAGGTTTTGTAGGTGGTAGAAATCAAGAGTACCCTTTCATGGTTTTTTATTTTATTTTCTGTACACACACACACACGAGTAAGAACAGAGATCAAGTGCCTTCCTTAAGTGATCTCCGCTTTATTTTTTGCAACAAGCTACTGAACGTGGAACTCACAGACTGTTTAGACTGAATGGCCAAGGAGTGCCTAGGCTCTATCTGTCTCCACCCTTCTCTTCCAGTTATGGGGTTATGGGCACGTGCCATTATGCCAGGCTTTTTCATGAGTAATGTGGATCCAAACTCAGGTCTTGATACTTGTAGAGCAAGCCCTTTACCCACTGAAGTATCTCCCTAGCCCCAAAGCATCCATTTATAAAAGAATGTTTTAGAGAGTGTTGGTCACTCTTTCTCTGTCTCTTGTGGCTGGGGAATTAGTTTACTTAAGTGCATGTATATAGCCCTCAAAGCAGATGCTTTGTATTCAGATAATGAATAGTTTTATTTTCCCCGGGGTTTAGTGTGTACTCATCAACTGAGAATTTTTTAGTCTCTTGACTCCCTGTGTCTTCTTTCCTTTTGAAGGGTAAAGGTTTCATATCATAGGTCTCTTCTACGTGATAAATAATGTATTTGAAACAAGAATGATGATAGTGGTATAAGTGATTTCATACAGCATACTGAATAATAGGTGCATCCAATATAACTTTATTGCTGCGTGGCTGAGTATTTTGGGGGGGTTGAGATAAAAAAATTGATTTAGATTTGAGAAGAGAGTAGGATTTAACATTTATCGAGCACCTACCATTCATGTTTTATACGTATGGATTTCTATTTGAGCTGCATGACTCCCCTTTATGTAAGTAGCATTATAGATGTTTTGCAAATGAGGTCCCTGAGCCTGATTACTCAAACTCTAAAACCTGTGTCTGTTCTCCCTCTTTAATACTGCAACCTTTCAATTTTTGAAATGTTTTTTTAAACATGATCAGAAAGACTATATAGTACTTTAGAAAGTGCTTGGTAATTTGTGTTACTTAATATTTTCCTTGGGGGTAGTAATTCACTTAACTCATTTGGTACTGTAAAATGGAAATTGAATGTGAATGGGTTTACTAGGGCAGCTCTGTCAGAGTAGAAAGGATCTCTTGTGTAGCAAAGTAACAATTAATTTTAATAATAATGTAGCCACTTGTAAGGTTCATATGTGTATCTGTTTTTTAAAATTGATACAGGGTTTCTCTGTGTAGCCCTGGCTGTTCTGGAACTCACTCTGTAGACCAGGCTGGCCTTGAACTCAGAGATTTGCCTGCCTCTGCCTCCCTAGTACTGAGATTAAAGATGTGTGCCACCATTGCCCAGCTTATGTGTATCGTAACTACTGAGGATTCACAAACTAAAAGAACCTTCTAGACTATAAACTAAAATCCCATACTGATATTGGCAAAGCTAGAACTCTCCTAAGGGACTGTTAAATTCTTATCACAAATTATTTCCAATAATCCATTTCCTTTTGCTCTTATCTTTTCTATTTATTTTCTCACCTAGGTTCTAGACAAGATACCTAGATACAGAGTTAGATTATTGTCTCTTCTAATTAAATGCCAGCTTTGGCTACAGTCCTGCCTGTCATGCATACATGGCTATATGTAGTCATTCTCCTGTATTTTTGAGTAGTGTCATAATTTCTGTGGCCAAGACTTTAAAAATATCAAGTCCACCATGTAGTAACTATGCTGTATGAGCTGTCATGTATTTGATTGTTTCAGTGTGCAACTCTTATGTAAATTTGTGTTTAGTATTTCTGAATCTAAATTAGGGACTAAGCCACAGCTGTGGCACTTATAGAGGGTGGCATGTCTCAGTTAAAAGATCCTGTAGCTAGAAATAAGTATAATTGCATCTTTTATAAGCAAAGCAGCTGAAGCCCAGGTTAAGTCATTTCCTCAGGGTTAATTGCGGTAGAACCAAGCTTTCTACCCAGATCTACTCAATCGTAAGGTATACGTTTTCCTGGAGATGGCTATAGAAAAAAACAAAGTTTTCTTACGAGTATCTAAAAAAATTTTGTGGTACTCTGGTGAGTGATATAAAGAATTTTTTCTTCTGATTGCAGCTCTGCCGTGGATGAAACACTGCTGAATCTGCACTAAGATGCCACGACCACCACTACCCAAAAGCTCCAGACTGGAGACTAAGAAAGCCCAGGCTAGCATGATCATGCCCAGCAAGGAAGACCAACCTGAAGAGGTTAAAGCAAATTATCTCTTCCAATTGTGTCTTATGTAGTCTCTTTAGGCATTGCTTTGGTGCTTATCCTGACCTCTGAATATTTATGGTGCTTGTATTATTCTGAGAAAGTGGGTATTTCTATCAATCTTTGTAGCTGAAGAATACCAGAAGTTGGGACATGGGGCTAGGAATTAAAATTTGGTTCAGGGTTGAGCCCTTGCCTAACGTGTGCAAGGCCTTAGGTTCTGTCCCAGCCATCAACCCTAAGTAACTTGAGCAAAAGGTATAGATTCTACTCATACTTCAATATGTATGGATGAAGTCAAGGCCATTTTCTACATCTTTCAAAGCCAAACAATAGTGAGTTCTCGTTAATGATCATGTCTATACTTTTATATTCTTTTAGAAAGCTCCAGGAGGCTGTAGTACATTCTTGGTAGTACATTTTGTCAGTAAGAATATTATCATACTTTTTAAATATTCAGATTGAGTATCCCTAATTTGAAAATCCAATATTAAAAATTTTCAAAGTCTTTAAACTCTTTGAGTGCTGACCTAATTCTGCAAGCAGAAAGTCCCATATTTAGTCTCAATCAATGGAGTTTACAGTCAGACTGCAGGCATACTAATGGAAGCGAGATTGTGCAGTGATGGAAGGAGTTACAAGCACAAGGACCAGTTTGAAGACCTAGCATTCATGTAAATGCTGAGTGGGTATGACAGCTTGCCAGTAATTCTAGTGCTCAGAAGGCAAAAACAGGATCCATGGAGCAGGCTGGCTAGTCACACCGGCTGTATAGGCAAACTCTAGATTCAGCTGAGTAACACTGCCTCAGTGAATAACGTGAGAGCAAGAGAAAGAGATCTCTGATATCAGCCTTAGACTTCCACATGCAAGGCACACATTTGCACATGTACACACTTGCACACATATGTATACTCACGCATATGCAAACCTGCATATATATGCATGCATGCAAACAACATACATACAAAAATTCAGATCCACTAAAAATAATGTATAAATTGCCTTCAAGGTATTTTTTTTTTTCGAGACAGGGTTTCTTTGTGTAGCTCTGAGCCTGTTCTGGTACTCACTCTGTAGCCCAGGCTGGCCTCGAACTCAATATCTGTAAGCCACCCATATCTGGTGGCTTACAACAACTTGTAGCTCCAGCTCCAGGGTATCTGAAGCCCTCTTCTGGCTTCTGCCTCTGCCTCCCGAGTACTGGGATTAAAGGTGTACACCACCACTGCTTGGCTTCAAGCTTTACTTTTATAATGTGTATATATAATACAAATCTGAAATTTGGGCAATAGGGGGAGGGGAGAGTAATGGAGGAATAAAATATATTCAAGTATATGATATACTTGAACAAAATATCAATATGAAACTAATTGCTTTGAACAGTGAATATATGCTAGTGAGATTCTTTAAAAAGAAAGACTGGAGAAGTAACTCTGTGGTTGAGAGCTTTTGCTGCTCTTCGAGAGGATTGAAGTTCAATCCAGAACCCATATCTGGTGGCTTCCAACAGCTTGAAGCTCCAGCTCCAGCTCCAGCTCCAGGGTATCTGAAGCCCTCGTCTGGCTTCTGTGGGTACCCACATTTATGTGCACATACCCACATGCAGGAGCACACACATGCACATAATTAAAATAAATTTTGATACTGAAAAGATTGCTTGGATTTTTAGAGGGTGTGTTGCTTTTCCAGATGATCCATGTTCAATTTACAGCACCCGGGTGGGTCCGGGTGGGACAGGGTGGGACGTATATCTGTGTGAATGGAGATGACCGTGACTTTGTCACTTGTGTGGGTGAGACCACAGGGGGTTGTCCTCCCAGGGCACACATCTGAGCCTCAGCCTCATTGTGCATGTCTCATGGTCACATCTCCTCCTGCCTCTTGCTCATCCTCGCCTGAGCAACTTGCTTCGTGGAATCCCATGCCTCTGGTCTACATGGGCACATGTAGTCATGTGCCCATACCAAAGCATATGTAATACATATACATAATTAAAGTAGTAATAAATGTTTCAAAAAAGAATTAAAAATAAATATCCCTGGGTCCCATCCTGAAGATATTTAATTACGTATATGTCAATATTTCAAATGTGAAAAAACTGAAAACCAAGAAACAGCTAGTCCCAAACATGTTAGATATAGAATACTCAACCACTTTAAATTTTAAGAATGTACTGGTACACTTAAATTTTCCTGATTTAACATTGACATTCTGACCCTATTGTGTGCTATATTCATCACCATATATTTTAACAAGAGTTATATTAACAGTCGTAAATTTACATTGAGTTTCTTGAAGCAGACAGCATTAGGCCTTATGCTTTCTTTGACTGTGCCTGTGCTTTTCTGTGTTCAACCTCTAGCACTGCAGACTCTGGTGTTCTGTGCAGTGTTGGGAGCAGTGAACCCCCAGATCCTGAAACAACTTGTTTTCCCCTCATCTGAGTGCCTACAGCTGCTCTGAGCACGAGGCCCTCAGAAGTTCCTGATGGCAGGAGGGTGATTGCTGGTGGGTTTGGCTGGGGCGTGGCTATCAGTTAAGGATCCCTATATAAGCTGCCCTGGAACACAATAAAGGGGGCATTCTTGGGGCATTCCTGTTTCAAGGATGATCTGTGTCTCTGTCTGTGTGTGTTTGTGTGTTTCAATCTCCAGCCCCTTGCCCAGCTGGGGAAATGTATGACGGTGCATAGATGGGCATCGTTTCTATTAATTTTTACTTTGAGTAAAATGATTTTCATGGAGGGAATCATGGATTTTTCTCATGTTAACTTATCAGAAAAGATTTAATACCTTGATTGAGCTTTCATTTGTATCAAATGTTCTGATTGTAGTTATGACATTGTATGTTTTCTTTTATGGCTATTATTTTTTCCAACCCCAACTTTCTTTGGCCACACTTTGTAAGGATGAGTTTTATTGAGTTCAGTATCCATTGTTAATTTTATATGGAGGAGATAATTTCTAACAGTAATACTAAGTAAGAACTAGAAGATAAACTGACAATTTAAAAAAAAAGCTTGAAAGAAAAGTACTGTTTTATTATTTGCTAATTATTTGTACTAGGATTATTTATCACAAATAAGATAAAGATGAGTGGTTTACTTTTTAACTGAAGTAATTCTTAGCTCCCCTAGACTTGCAGTCTTTTTCTGGAATAGTGTGTTGTGTCATGAATACAATTATCCAAGGTTTTGAGCACTTATAGCATCATATACTGTTAATGATGTAGCTAGCACAAAGCAAGTGGTCCTATCCCAGTGTTCTGTTTAATAATTGTAAGAAATTTCTTCTATGGGTAAGACGGAGTTTGTTCTTAGAATTTTAAGAGAGAAATCTGACATTTGAGAGATATTCACCAAATAGGAACTGTTAAAGGAGAGAAAAAATTGCTGCAAGAATAATTTCTCTCAACTTCTAACTCCATATTTAAGGGGACACCCACACAACAGGGGCTTCCTCCTGGACCCGGGATTAGGCACAAACCACACCCAAACAAACACCTGTTTTCACAGAGAGATCCCTAATTAAGCAGGGAAGAGAAGTTAAAAAGTGGCTGCTTTCTGACTCAGGCAGAAAAGAGCAGCAAATGGCCTTGCAGGTGGAATTTTAAGAGGAGAAGAAGGGGAGGTCTGTGTTACAAGGGCCAGGACACTGTGGTAAAGGAGATAGGGATGAGGGAGAAGGGGAAGGGCACAAGGGAAAGGGAGAAGGAGTATTTGTCTCAGAGGACAAAGGACTGCCTCTGGACAGAGGGGAGACAGACATGGCACATAGGCAAAAGGTGGTTTATAAAGGTAAAGGAGGAAAGCCCGTGTTAGGATGAGGTATTTAATTGAGCGTGTTAATTAGGTGAGCCAAAGGGGACTTTTGATTGCTGTACTTTGGTAGGCCTCAGGAGGAGGAAGTGGCCAAATAAGGGAATAGACCTCGGTGGCTAGCTTTAGGAAAATAATCAAATAGATATAGCAAGGTAGAGGGAATGGGGATTAGGGCAAGGCCTGCAGAGTCACACGTTCAAGTGGGCTGGTGCCCCTTCACTTGTAGACTAGAACTACATGGTTTTAAAGTGATATTTCTTTCTATTTACAATTTATACAGACTAAAAAATGTATTTTATTATAGAAAATTTACTTATGATATACAGGACTCTGGGTTTCATCTTTAGCACAGTTATAGCAAAACACTTTCAAAAGTATGTTCTCTTTTGTAATCCATAAAGTCTCTGTAATTTGGGTTATCATTCTAATTTCATTGATAAGAAAATTGAGTCTCACAGATTGAATGACTCTTCCAAGGTCAATATGTAGTAGAGAGCTGATTGTACACTATTGTCCTTATTGAATAAATATTAAACAAGTGCATTTAGTATAAGAGGCACTTACTTGGTTTATTTAACTAACTTACCTGGAGGTAGCCCTTTTGAAAGAATCACTTAGTAGTGTTGATAGTTAAACTTGAATTGTATAACCATAACTTCGGGAAGAGAAAGAGAATAAATTAGGTTCACCAAGCTGTTTTACCCATTTTGAAATTTGTGCTGAGGCTCATCTAGTCTCTTCGTCGTTTGTCCCTATCATCAAAGACTATATTCTTCAGTGACTGTAAACATCTTCAGGTACCCAAAATAAACTTTCATTGTACATCATAAGATTTAGTATACATATTGTGGAGTTTATTCAAGCCCTGAATATGACCTAAAGTTCCAAAGGGATTATATACACTTGGCCATGCTCTTTTGCCTCTTATTTTTACAGAGTGAGGAGGATGACTATACAACATTTTCACCTTCATCTCCAGACACAGAAAAAAAGAGATCAGCTTTTGAAGACCTCACTAATGTGAGTATGCTATTCCCATTCTTTTCTGTAGTTTTACATATTTTTACATAAAATTACATGTTTACATAAAATACATATTTTTTATCTTTATCTTGAGCAATCTTTCTTGTTTACCAGCAGACCTTGACACTCTCAGAATGTTGACAGCAGAATTTATTTGGACATACAGTGACACAATTTCACAAACTATAGAAGCTCTTTTTACTGGAACATACCATTTAGGTCAATTTATATGTTCCCTGGAGACATTAAGCAGTGACTAGTATATGAATTGTAAATAACTATCAAAACTATGGGAGATTATGTTTACCTAAGATCCAGAGATGGCTCCCTCGACTTTGGAAATGTTATAATAGAATAATCGTAGTTCAGAGTAGCTTTACAAATTCAAGCACTATAAGAGTTTTGGGTAAGACCATTTTTTCTTTTCTGTAAAGTTGACCTCACCCATCACTTCTGTATCCCAGGATTTAAATTCTATAATTAGCCTAGTCATAGTGACAATCAAAATTACCTCATGTCTATCAAACTTCAAAGGGTCAGACCTGTAGCTGCAGACTGGTGGAGCCAGCCATCAATACCCATCACAGAGATATGAGGGGGATAACTTACTGGAGGAAATGGGAAGTATGGACCAAACGGCCTCCATAGCAATTAAAATGAGTCTTGTCCACTGTTGCATGAGTTCTAATTGGTCTTAATAATAAAAACCTGGAGCCAGATATCAAGGTAAATGCTGGAAGATTAGAGAGAGGAAGGAGCAAGCCACAGCTAACTCTTACCTTGCTAACTCCCCAGCCGAAAAAGGGCCAAACTACTGTCTCCTCCCACTTTATATTCCTCTCTCTGCCCAGCCATATCACTTTCTGTCTGTACAGACCTCCAGACCTTTATGGTTAACTAGTGGCTAGCTCTGTCTTTTGATCTTCAAGCAAGCTTTATATTTGTTAGAATATAAACAATATATACCCACAGCCCACTATCTAACCAGTTACCCTAGGCTCCTCCATGGTAATTTTGATGATTTTGTTGGGGGCTAAGATCCCAGGGCATTACCAGTTTTCAGCCACCAGGCCCAGAAAACCTGAGAGATCTTCCAGCGGAGGAGGAGCTTGGAGGACTAACCTACTTTGATGAGACAAAGGGAGACAGTGTCCTGCATGTCCACAGATTGGGGAGGGTTCTGGCGGAGGGTGAAGTGAGGTGCCATTCTTCATCCAGTGACTGGTGTTGCCACATTTGAACCAGGTTTTGGGTGAAGTCTGCTGGTGCCCAGTTTTTTTAGAAGTGGCCTCAGGGCTGCTTCCACAAGCAGTTATTTCCATCTATCATTGGAAGCTTTTGGGGTCTTTCTTGCTCCCTCCTTTCATTAAACACCTTAAATGCCATGTTTAGCAGATCTCTGGGAGGTTTGAGGACCATTTAAAAAATTTTAAATTTATTTTAAACTTGATTTCAGTTACTTGTTTCAGGCTTAACTTTGACAATATATATACAGAAGATTATATAATGGGAGATAAAAATTGGTTTCTCCCTCCATGCTTGTGATTGTAAACAAATTACGTTTGTGTTTAGCATGACTACAAACATGGTTTTGAGCGCATTAAAGAATTTGATCATTGGGCTGGAGAGATGGCTCAATGGTTAAGAGCACTGTCTGCTCTTCCAGAGGTCCTGAGTTCAATTCTCAGCAACCATATGGTGGCTCACAACCATCTGTAATGAGATCTGGCATATATGCAGGCAGAATACTATATACATAATAAAAATTAAAAAAAGAATTTGATCATTTATAAGGTGATTGATCATTAATTTGTATGTTTTAATTATCTTTGACAGTTTACAATATGTATATTTTATAAGATTAGGATTTCATAATCTTTTCTTTATCAAGTTTTAGCTTTAAAATTTATAACATTTTAAAATGAAGGTCCTTTAGTATGAAAATAAACTTTAAACAATAAATACATTTCAAAGAGAGACTAAGAACCTTGTTTTCCTGATCCTTTTATAATGTATATTTACAAAATATTGCAGTTTTTTTATGACATGGTTTTTCTAAATAGCTAAAGCCTAACAAAGTTAGCAAAGAGATAAGTGATTAGATGTATGTTTTAAATCAGTTTCTGTTAAACTGAATAGACCATTATACTCTTAGAAAATTATAAACCTTAATCATCAAACATATGTTGTTCCTAAATCATATTTTCTGTAACTCTAGTTCATGGTTTTGTCCTCATGTGTTGTTTTCCACTCTTAGGACAAAAATCATCATACAAAGTTCATCCTTAGCTGGGTGATGGTGGTGCACGCCTTTAATACTGGAACTTTGGAGGCAGAGGGATCTCTGAGTTCAAGGCTAGCCTGGTCTACAGAACAAGTTCCAGGACAGCCAGGGTTACATAGAGAAACCCTGTCTCAAAAAAAATCCTAAAAGATTCATCCTTATGCAAAATATCTTAGAACCTGGTGTTGCCTCCTTAACCTAAGGAAAATAAAATAAAAACAAACCATCTTGGAGGCCTGGTATTGCCTCCTTAGTCTAATTTAAAAATCAATTTTCCTAAATAAAAGTTGAGTCTAAGTAACATCTGTGGTATGGTATAGCAAATTAAGAATACCTATACATAGATTTTTAATTACCAACCCTTTTTGTTACAAGATTTAAGATACCTTTTGCTCTGCTGGGATTTTACAGACTTTTAAAACCATACTCCCAATGATCTTACAGATCCCAGGACAAAGAAAGCTTACATTTCTGCAGAAGCTTCAAAGATATCCATGACTTTGCAGAACATTTTAAACAAAACCAAGAAGGGGGGAGTGGTATTCGAGAGCTAAACATGTGATTACATTTAACCATATTAATTTTATAAATAAAGTTCTCTTGAGTAAAACATTTAAATACCATGGGATAAACAACAGTAACATCTGCTGAATATAGTTTTTTTTTAGCTATTCTCAAGCACATAGTATCTCTTTCCTGGTCTGTCCTGTTGTGGTTCTTTTCCCTGTCACAGGGTCAGAGGGCAGCCTGACCCAGGACAGGCAGGCCTTGGAGACAAACATGCTTGTCTAAAGTGTGCGGGCCAAATCCCATTCCCACAGCCAGCTTTTTAGTAGAGTAAAACAGCATGTGAAACTATTTCAATATTACCCATACCCCAAAGGCATTTGCATCTCTGTAACACTGAACCCAGTGATCAGAAGGAGAGAGGAGAGGGGGAAACAAAGAAGATTTAGAGATAAATTATTTCAGACCATCTGCTTGTTCCATGGTAGAAATTGTCACAGTCTGTGAGAATTTAGAAATCCAGTGTGCCATTTTCTTGCCATTGAGACTGGTATCCTGTTAAATAATGGCTCTAGGAATTTGGCTGAAACAAGGTAGGTACACAAATTAGAAAAGCGGTCTGTCTTAGTTTAACTTCCCTTGGTCCTTTTCATTCAGAATCCCTAATGGGAATGTGTGGAATGGGACAATGTAGTTGTTTTTTTCTCTTTGCTCTTTGGGGGCTCACTGCTCAACTCCCAAATAAATACATGGAGACTTATAGTTAGTATTATTCCAAGCTACTTCCAGCTGGTTGGGGGCACTGATAATCTTATGGGGACCTAAAGAAAATTCAGAATTATCAAGTACTGACTGGAGTATCCAGTGAGTCTTGATCACCTCAGGCAGCAGTCTTGAATCTGTTTTGGATGTAGAACTCTGATATCGGGCCATCTGTTCCTACCAGAGATTTCTCAGGTGGTCTTCCTTGATCAAACCTGATTTTTCTTAACTCAGAACGAACCCACAGCCTCTCATTTCCTGTGTAAACAAAAGCAAAATCTCTTCTCCAAAGTAACATACTTTTTTACTTCAATTTTGAAGTCAAGGTATTTTCAAAATACCTATCTTAGATTAATTCAGCAGCATTTATAAGCAAATATCTTTTAGCAGCTGTTGCTCCTTCCTCAGCACTCAAACAATTCAAAAAGAGAATAATAGCATATAGTATCAAAATTCTCTGTGTATTTTTCATCTTTATGTGGCTTTACTTTAACCTCTGTTTCTTTTATTTTTACTTTTAACTTTTGGCTTTTTGAGACAGGTTCTCTGTGTATCTTTGTCCTGGAATTCACTCTATAGATCAGGCTGTCCTTGAACTCACAGAGGTCCCTCTGTCTCTGCCACCCCAGTGCTGGGATTAAAGGTGTCTGCCACCACAACTTGAATTTACAGATGTCTGTCTGCCTCTGCCTCTCAGGCATTGGGATTAAAGGTGTGTACCACCACACCCAACTACTCTTGTTTTTTTTTTAAAGACTTTAACCTTTAGCCTGTATATATTTTTAACACACTGTAAACCATTTAGAGGTGTTTTTCTTCTCTGAATCTATCTTTACTGTATATCTCTCTCTTTTTCTGACCACATGAGTCTTTAACTAACTAAGCAATATGGGTAGGATTAAAGCCATGGCTTTGCCGGCTGGATCCAGCCCATTCCTTAGCTTTCTGCTATTCCAGCCTTGTGGCTGAGGTACAGGCCAGAGCCGTGTTTATTGCCACAACTCTACAGTGTTTCAAGGTCCCTGACAGCAAACAAGCTGCAGCATTCTGCTCACAGACCACACTCAGTCGGACTGCTTGCCTGAAAGAGTCAGAGTTTGCCCTGGCAGGACAGCCCAGAAAGCTGGCATTTTAAAACGGCGCAGCTTTTTTTTCCTGCTATGGCTGAAACCCGAAAAGCATATGGTCAGCTTTTCTTCAACACTATTTAAGTGTTTCTTGGCAGGACCTCTAAAAAGAGCTGCAAGGTTTTGCAACTAAAGCTGAGTCAGGAAGCCTCTCTTAGATGAGAGTGCTTGCTTGCCTCTAGCAAGCAGAGCAGACCCAAGAAATTTCTGCTACCAAGAAAACATGCTTTACTCTGTTCTTTCCCAAGCTTTATCAGGCTTTTTGTGGATGCAGTTATCCATGTGGGTGCCATTCTGAAGATGGATGCCCCAACAGTACAAAAGAACTTTAGGTGACTGTACAGGTAGTGAGATGTCTCTGTCATTTCTGGAGTTTTGGAAGTTGCTTACTTCTTGTTTACTTAGGTAATATTATATCCTTCTGGAGTCTTTGATGGAGTTGAAGAATGGTTAGTTATAGATTTCCTTTGTTATGATTAAGATAAAATAGAAATATTGTAACTGTAATTCTTGCTTTTTAACTGTCTTGCTATATGTAATTTTACTATGTTAAAGCCTTTTTTTGTTTAAACAGAAAAAGGGGAAATGGAGTAGAAGGGTTTTCTGTCTATGTGTTACTTTCATCGGTTAAATAAAGAAACTGCCTAGGCCTTTTGATAGGACAGCAGCTTAGATAGGTGGAGTAGACAGAACTGGGAGAAAGAAAGCAGAGTCAGGGAGATGCCATGGCTCTTCTCTCTGAGACAGATGTAGGTTAGGCTCATCCCAGTAAGCCACAGTAATGTGGTGATATACAGATTATTAGAAATGGGTTAATTAAGATGTGAGAGTTAGCCAAGAAGAGGCTGGATATAATGGGCCAGGCAGTGTTTAAATGAATATAGTTTCCTTGTAATTATTTTGGGAAAAGCTAGCAGGAAGCAGGGCAGCTGGAAGCAGACTGCTGCTCTTTTTACAACAGTGTATAGGTGTTTCATTTTCATGGTTATGTGGTGCCTACAGAGGCCAGAAGAGGTCACATACCCTGGAACTGAAGTTCAAACAGTATGAGCTGCCATGTGGGTGCTGAGGATCTAACCCAGGTGCTCTGGAGAGCAACATATGTTTTTACTCACTAATCCATCTCTCCAGCCCCAACATTAGAAATTCATTATGTACAGTTCTAGAAGCTAGGAAATCCAAAATGAAGATGCCAGTAGATTTGGCATTGGGTTGGGGACTATTCCTCATAGATGCTATTTTCTATCTGTGTCCTCGTATAGTAGAAAGGCAAGAAAATTCCCTTTGGTATCACAAATAAGGGCACTAATCCCAGATCATCAAGACATTTACTCAACATTGTAATGCAGCAGTTTCAAAGCAGCACTTTCATATTTATGTCACAAAACAAAGCTAATAAACAGTGTTTCATATTTATTCACTATATCCATTCCTTGGATATCCATCCTGACTGAGGATATACAGTCAAGTAATGTACTTATAAATTACTTAGATTAGTTGATTCTTGTATTTTTTTGTTTTTTCATTTAATGTAATTATAATAATAGTATTTATTTGAAATATAATTAGGCTCATTTGTAGATGGAAGTTTCTGTCCTGCCTGGTCCCACAGCCATTCAGTCCTAAATAAACTCATTAATACAAGAGTCTTATATTTATAAACTGTTTGGCCTGTTGCTCAGACTTATTATTAAGTAGCTCTTACAACTCAAATTAACTCATAATTCTTATATATGTTCAACCATGTGGCTTGGTACCTTTTCTCAGTCAGGCATTCACATCTTACTTCCTCTGAATGCATCTGCTTCTCTGCCTATCCTCTTCCTAGAATTTTTCTAGTCTTGTTGCTCCACCTATATTTCCTGCCTGGCTACTGGCCAATAGGGGTTTTATTAAACCAATTTGAGTGACAAATCTTTACTGTGTACAAGAGCATTATCCCACAGCACTTATTTTAAAGGTATAACCTTTAAGTTGACTTTTTATTGACATTATTCAGATTAATGATTTCTCCTACTGTTTAATAGAGTAGTCAAGATTAGTGAAGGGCATATTCTTGAGAGACAAATATTAAATAAATACCACTTGACAAAATAGAATGGTGGTATTTTAAGTAGATGTGTCTTAAAGATCTAGCCTGAGTAGCTAGTTGTTCTTGGCAAAACTAGACAATAAAATTAGTTGTATTTCTTGTGTCCTCTATGCATTTTAAGTCAAAACATAAGACAAACTAAACTATCTTGTTAGTTATTCATGAGCCAGTATGCCTGGCATGGAAATTAAAATTGTGTCCTACATCTCTTGGGAACACTTGGGGCTGCTATTTTTTATGTGTACCAGTATTATTGTACTTATTGTAGCTCCCACTGTGGTTGGTTGGTCCGGTGCCATATGTTTTATGAAAATTTTAGGTTTTGACTTCTGCGAATATCCAAATAAGCTGTCTAGGATGGTGAACCTGCCTTGAGTTTCTTATAAAAATCAATTATTGGATGATATGTGATTCTCTTAATTTGCTGTCTTTTTTGTAGACTTCTCAAAGTCAAACTGTGCAGTCAAAGAAGGAAGATGATACAGAGCATAGGAGCCATGCTTCCAAGAGGACAAGCAAGGGAGCTGCTAAAATTTCTCTGAGAAAAAGGTAAGATTCAACTGGCGTTGTCTCATATTATAAAGGAGAGACTGTGACATCATTTTCTCTCCATTAAGAATATTTTTAGTGAGGCACATTGGTGACTACCACATTACCTCTTGGTGCTGGTGGAAGACCATCTGTGGTTGATGGAGTTATAGGCCTCTTCTCTCTTTCTTTTTCCATGGATTGTGTGTGTTAGTGCATAAATTGAAAATGCTATCATCATTGCAGAATTGATTAAAATCACATATTTGATTTAGCCCCTGTTTGAGATAGTCTCTGTGGGGGGAGCATGGAATCAGCGTAACTTTTCCTGAAATCTAAGCAGCTAGCTAATAGCACATAAGTTCACTTATACAATTAGAAACTTTGGGAGATATTCCTCTTGCTACTGGAGGGAAATTACTATCTCCTTGCACCCCAAACCTGTGTCTTCCAGCTATTAGAGGTTTTACAGCTAGATTAGAAAAAATAATTTACTCTTAGGAAAGCTTTGACTCAAAGAACATTGAAAAGTTACTGTGAGGCCTTTCTACATTTTCTTCTCAGTCCTTCTTAATGTAGCTAGCAATAAAAATTTATTAAACACATATCTCTACTCCTGACTTTATACAATGTATGTTGTTTTGTTTATACTTCCAGGACAGAGTTTATTTATCAACTTTTCTTTGAAACTTGGGTTTTACTATGTTGCCCACACTGGCCTTGAAATCATGATCCTCCTGCTTCAGCCTCTCATATGTTGGCAATGCCACACTTGTTTGTTTGTTTGTTACTTTACAGAAAAAGTGTTGACTCCTTCCTATCAGAATTATTTGTTCTTGCTCTCTCCTAAATCTTCAAATGTAGTTGGGAACTTACAGTTATCATTTCACTGTTTTTTTTTAATTTTATTTTTTAAGTAAACATACAAAGTAATAAGATTTCCTATGGTTTATTTATGCCTATGCGAGTATATTTTGGTCTAATTCATCATCCTTACCCATTACCTTCCTTTGTGTCTCATGTGGTTTCAGGCTGCTTCTTTCCCTAACCAAGTAGGTCTCCCCTTCTGCTTTCATGTCACATGTATCTATTACCCTTTCTTTCCTTCCCTCTCCTTTAAGTGTTTCTCTTTATTCTAATTGCATCTTTAGGGCTTGACAAATATGGACTTAATTAAATTAGACAGAGGACTGAAACAGAGCTACGCATAACTTCTAATGAGTAAGGTAAAAAGTTGGACATTCCAGAAATTAACCAGCATAACACATGGGCACATTGTCATTTAACCAGTAGGGAGAAATAAAACTAAAAGATTCACATTTATTCTTACTTAGTTTGTGGCTTAAATTAAATTCCTTGGGTGTGCCTACTATATTTGACCTAAATTCATTATGTCATTTTCTTTTGACTATCTTTTAGTATTTCAACTTTACCAGGAAACAAACATTCTTCGTTTTCTTCAGGGGCTAGTGGAACAGACCCAATAATGATACTAGAATGAGTAATACCTACCATTTGCTGAGACTTCACTATAATCACATAGCATTCTATGTCTTTAATTTTTTTATTTTAAGTAGAATATAATTATATCATTTCCTTCTTTCTCTCCCCAAAACCTTTCTATGCTCCACCTTTTCTTAAATTCATATCCTATTTTTCTTTGATTAGTATTGTTACATATACGCTGAACCCATTTAGTGTTGCTTATGTGTATGTAGTTTGAGGGCTGACCACTTGGTATTGGATAACCAATTAGGGGGCTCATCTCTGAGAAAGACAAATTCTTCCTCTCTCAGTGGTTAGTAATTGCCTGTAGTTCTTTGTGTAGGAGTGGGGCTTGTGAGATTCCCCTTCCACATTCGCATGTCTGTTGGCATTGCCATCGTTCAGGTTTTGTTGAGGCAGCCACACTGTTGAGATTTCATGGACACAGATTTCCTGTCATTTCTAGGAGACACATCTCACAGCAGCTTTCCTGGTCCTCTGTCTCTTACAGTCTTTCCTTCCCTCCTCCCACAATATTCCCCAAACCTTATGTGCAGGATATACAGCTTTGTGCTATATATATCAGCTGGGGGTAGGCACCCTGTGATCATTTGATTTCTGCATCTTGACCATTTATGGTTTTCTCTGATGCTGTCCACATGCTGCAAAGAGAAGCTTCTTAGATGAAAGGTGATAATTACACTGATCTGTGGGCATAAGGATAAGTTTTAGAGTGCAGTTAGGAATTATGCCAGTCTAGTAAAGCAGCATAGGTTCTTAGGTTCTTCTCTAAGATCAGTAACCTCACTAGCTCTGGGAAGTTGGCTGGCTTTCCAGTAGCAGACATTATGTTCTCCCTGTTGAAGGGCCTTAAGTCTAATTAGACAGCTGTTGCTTACCATGAAGATAGGACTGTCACTATTGTACTTTTAGGGATCTCGTGCCATGCTGGTTGTTGTTTTGGTTTACAGAAATCCTAGCTGGGTAGACTGTTGGGTGCTTCCCTCCTTTGGCAGTTTTCATGACACTTTTTAGTACCAGGAAAGCTAGACATGGGGAAGAAAGCTTTCAGTTCAGGCCCAGCTTGAATCCTTCCTTCAAGTCTTTGTCCAAGGTATGTGGTGTCTTCAGTGTAATGATTATTAAAAATTGCTGTGGATCCCCGAGTAGCTTGCTGCAGGATCCCCTGCAGGCAGGGGGCAGCAGGTCCTGAGAGCAGCCAGTCCCAGGCAGGACTGGGGCATGAGACCACACAACAGGTCTCCAAAGGTGGTTGGTCCCTGGCAGCATTCCCAGTGCTAGCCATGTGGGCAGCAGGCAGGTGAGAGACAGACAGATAGGCACACCATGCAGAGTGAAGTTGGACATTTATTAGATGGGTTATGGAGGGGAAGAGAAGAGAAAGGGGGAGAAGAGGAGAGAAGGGGGGAAGGGGAGAGAGAGAGGCAGAAGCTGACTCCTCTAGAGGAAGATGGAGAAGAGAGACCAAGGCTGCAAGCAGTGAAGGGTGGGCGTGGCTTGCCTCTTAAAGAGACAAAACAACGATTACATTCCCATCTCTTTTTTATAATACAAAGGCACCACAGGTTAAAGGAATTGGGGCAGCAGATTCTCAAGGCTTCTTCCTGCTTATTTGTGGGTGTCATCTTTGGGGGGAACCTGAGAAGGCTGGGTTCTGGTCACATCCTAGCATAGTTGTTCTCTTTGCTCCTGTCCAGTGTTTGTGGTATGAAAATGTCTGGTGTCTCTTACACCTATTTAAGATATTGGCAGAACAGAGGACAAAGTTAAGGGAAAAAATTTTTTTAGGATTAGGGAATTGAGGGGATGTATCTGACCTGTTTAAGGTGGATCCTTCAATTCAGCTCCCTGGAACTCACAAGAATTCTTTGAGTTTGTGAAAACGGAAGTTTTACACATACACATTGTATAAACAGTGGCATGTTTATGTCAGAATGACTGTGACAGATTATTTTTTGCACAATGAAAATATTTTTAAGACTATGGAAGGCAGCATGAGAAAGAAGTTTGATAACTTGTATTTGCCCTCATACCTTTATAACTTACAGGTCTTGTATTTATATTTTACTGAAATTTGTTTGGTGAGGTTGTCCTTTTAAACTGATAGAACCTCTCAGCTGTCAAACTGCATCAGAGATCTTTGAGAAGGATAAAATTTTACCTGAGTTACTTATTTAAAAAATGACAGAGAATTTACTTGGTTGGCACCAAGAGCTACTCCTCCGGGTCCTCCATGGCTGCTGAAGGTCGCATTTGCCTTGTGCTGTTCAGTGCAGGGCCTGCCAGGCTCTAGAAGATCCTGTGGGCTGAGAAATCTGTAGGAAGACAAGCCTACCTTGACCTGAGCAGCTAGGCTGTCAGTTTCAGTGATTCTGTCCATGTCAGGCGATCTTTAGTTTAGATAAAAAGCAGTTTTTTCCCAGTGGTCAGCACTTGGCAGTTGCAGTGAATTGCAGATGGATGTTTTTCTGTGACCATTTGTGTTGAAGGAGCAGCGGGCTGTGTTCCTGCCACCCAGTTCCCGGCCGCCTGGCTAGCTTATGACCCGAAATAACAACACACAAAATTGTATTCTTTTAAACACTGCTTGGCCCATTATATCTAGCCTCTTCTTAGCTAACTCTCATATCTTGCTTAACCCATATTTAGTAATCTGTGTAGAACTCCTAAGTAGTGGCTTACCGGAAAGAATTCTAGTATATGTCCATCCTGGGCTGGAGCTTCATCACGTCTGCCCCAGAGAGGAGAGGCATGGCGTCTGGCTCACTTCCCTTCTTCCCAACATTCTGTTCTGTCTACTCCACCTACCTAATTTTCTGACCTATCAGACCAAGCAGTTTTCTTTATTGATTAACCAATGAAACAACAGATTGACAAATGACCTTCCCACATCACATTTGTCTTCTATCTTCTTTGAAGGAAATAGAGTGCTGCTGCTAGAAGCCAACCTGTCTCTTTTTTTTTATGAAAAGTTTTTAATGATTAAATATCTAAATGCCATATTCCCCAGATCTCTGAGCAGTTGAGTGCTGTTTATCAGGTACAGATACAGTATAGAATCTGCCTGGAGAGCTGGGTCTAAGTTTGACCATACTGGCTCTCAACTTAACAGGTAAGGTTTACACTCATAAAAAGACAGAAAGAAGAAAAATCTGTTTGCAATAAAAGGTTAATGGCAGAACTAACAATAGCAGAGAACAGCTTAATATATTCTAAATGAGGGTTGGATTAAATATAAAGTATTTTTGCAAGAAACTTAAAAGTACATACCAGTTTAAAACATGAGACTTATTGTTTTTGTAGTCTGAACTGAGATGCAATGAACAATTATAACATTAAACACAGGTGCATTTAAGTTACATGTATGAACACACAGAGAGTGAACAGGAATTGGGCAAAGTGGATGCTCTTGGTGGGCCCTACCAAAGGCATGCCACTGAACAAAACACATGCAACTAAGCCAATAAGAGGAATTTAATGAAAACTGGGGGACAAGGCAGGGTATACTTCAGTAA